AGGAACTCTCCGTGGGTCAAAGGTGAGAAAACTTCAAAGGAAGAATGCTTCGTGTAGAATGGCTGTGCTAAAAAGCATGCTGTGTCCTTGGCTGTTCTGCTTTAGTTCCAGTCTTTATTGCTGTCTTTATTCCTGTTCTTTCCTCATAGAGGAACTGCTTTGTACCTACTCAGGTCATTAGGCCCACCTGAAGAGAGACTAGATACGGATGATTTCCTGAGAACTCAGTCACCCGATATTAGACTTCCTCCAAATGCTCCTCTCTTGTTTCAAGCAATAAGTAAAGTAGCTAGGAATAGGCAATCTTGGAAAATTCTAGATAAGTTACAGCAAGAAGAATTATTTGTAAATAATCCCCCTGCTTCAGTCCCTAGAGTTGACTCAAGGAGATCAAAGGGATACTAAAAGAAGATTGCTGCCTACAATTAAGACAGACTTTGGAATTGCCTGTGAGTTAAGGAGAGGTAGGCTATGGCATCCCCTTAAGGGAAAGGAGAGCATATTTAGGATCCCTGAGCCCACTGATGAACCACTTCCTCATACAGGAGTTTATGAAGGAAATAATAGGTGGGTAAATATTCAAGGAAGGGAAGTTTCATGGTATTCATTATAGTTTATGGATAGGTTAGCTAGATCCAGACCACCTTGGTGCCTTTACTACAAGTCAGCAGCAAAGTATACTTGAACAATTACAGGCAGTATAAGAAACATGGAAAGAAAGAATAGAAAATATGTATTAGAGAAAGACGCCTTTGAAGTTTATGGAGTTATTATAAGGAAGATGCTATTTTACAACTTCACTGACCTAGTCATTGGCCTCGGCCACTGAAACCTCAAAACTGAGAAAACGGAACCATAAAATTACCAACCATGAAATTTATAAGTAGCTGATGTTGCCAAACCACTAAGGGAAAAGGACAAATAGTCTAAGCACCTGATTAATTAGATAAGAACACTGTACACTGTACTGTATTGCTTTGATTTTGAATTGTATTTCTAAGAAAATGATTAACCATGAAATCAACCTGATGCTTGCACAGTCTTGTTCTGTAACTTGTATAAAATCCGATGCTCCAATTTAGAAAATTACATTCAGATCATCAACCATCTCTTGTGTTGTGTCTGTTTGTCACTCGCCGAATCCTTGCCCACTCTCCCATTCCCCGTTCCCATCGGACTGAGTGCTCCGGTCTGGGCTGGTCCGTCACATAGTTCCGTAAGTACTTTTTTTTTCTTTTCTCATTCTTTTTTTGACACATTCATCACTCAGGAGTGTGTTGTTTAATCTCCATAAGTTTCTGTAGTTATTAGAGCTTCTTTTGCTGTTGATTAAAGTTTTATTGCATTGTGGTCTGATAGAATACATAGAATTATTTCAATTTTTTTATTTTTTGAGGTTTGTTTCTGTCCCAGTATTTGGTCTGTTTTGAAGAAACTTCCATAGGCTTCTGAGTAGAATGTGTGTTCTTTGGTGTTTCAGTGGAATATTCGGTAGATGAGTCTTAGATACATTTGATATATGATATCATTTAATTCAGATGTTTGTCTATTCTTTGTCCACATAACCTGCTTATTGGACAAAGTGGAGTACTAAATTCACCTGCTATTACTCACTTGGGGTTCATCTGTGTCTTAAAGTTCAGCAGTGCTGTTTTAATGAAATTCAGTGCAGCAGAGTTTGTTCATGATTGTGATGCCCTCTTGGTTAATTGTTCTCTTGACAAAAATTTAATGACCTTCTTTATCTCTTCTGATTAATTCTAACTTGAAGTATATTTTGTCAAATATTAGAATAGCAACTCCTGCTTGTTCCTTAATGTCATTTTCTTGGAATATGTTTTTCTATCCTTTCACTCTAAGGTGGTACTAATCCTTAGAGATAAAATAGACAACAAAAAGACGGATTTTGTTTCTTAATCCATTCAAGTAGCCTGTGTCTTTTAACTGGGGAGCTGAGGTCATCATATTTGGAGATATTATTGAAAAGTGTGTATTGGTTACTGTCTTTTTGATTTCTGTTTGTGTTCTTAGTAGTACTTTGTGTTTCCATACTTTATACTTTCATTTGTTTTCTTTCTGTAACCTCTTCAGTATGGTTATTTTTTCCCTTCAGTCCTTCACATTGCTTCACATAGTCTCTGTAGGATTGGTTTGGTGGACATGAATTCTTTCAGCTTATTTGTATGAAGGAAGATTTTTCTCTGCTGGGTAAACATTCTGGATGGGCATCTGTGATCACTGAGAACATGAAATACTTTGCTTCAGGCTCTTCTGGTTTTTGTAGTTTGCATTGAAAAGTCGCTTGTAATTCTGATGGGATTTCCTTCTTATGAAACTTGTTTTTCTCTTACAGATTTCAGTACCCTCTCTTTGTTTTTTACATTGATTATTTTTACTTTGTTATGCCATGAGGAGCTTTCGCTCTAGTCTTGTCTAATTGGTGGTCATGTGTTTCCTGTAACCTTTACAGGTATGTCTTTTCTTTATTTAGTGACGTTTTCTTCTATAATCCAGTAGGCCCATGGCAGGGTTGGGGACAGCATCAGGAGGATCTGACTAGTTAAGCAGAATAAATGTGAGCCCTGGAGCAGGAAGAGATGTGAAACTTTTGTGTTGCCATTTGAGGATTGACTGCACAGAGTCCTGGATCAGCATATTGGGATGGAGCTCCTAAGTGAGCAGATTGACTGGTAGTTTAGGGTGGGATTCCATACATCTGAGGCAAACAGAGCTCAGATGGCTGGATGCAGGGAAGTCTCAGTGCTAGAACACCAAACCACCAAGATTGGAGCAGGGAAGGATCCAGAAGATACAGGCAGGGCTGAGAGCTGAGATGGTGGGGATTGACTCACTCTGCCAAGAGGTGTATACACAGATCAGGAATGGGATGAGATCCCTGTGGAAATTCTGAGAGCTAAGATGGCAGGGCAGTAGGGAGTCTCAGGGAAGGAGCTTAAACCTCACTGCCTCACTGTTTTTAAATAATAAATTTTGTAATTTTACTTTGTCAGTGTAAATAATAGCCATTCATCAAAAACTACCATGTTTTGGAAATTTAGTGATTGAGTGCACTGACATTTTTTTATTTTTGTAAATTTGAATATAACACCTTCAACTTTTGTTTCAGGAAGCTTGACCACTTTTAATCTGTGAGAGGTTTTCGGTGTTTTGTTTGTTTGTGTCTTTGTTTTGGTTTTTATTTTTGCTTTGTTTCATTTGGAGTGCTGGGGACCAAGCCTTGCTCAGGATGGGCAAACACACCACAGAGTTAGCTCAATCGCTTGAAGTTTTGTATGTTAGAGTGACCTGGAACTCACTGTTGCCCTTCCTCTGCCTGTTCGAGTGCTGCCATTGCAAAGACCCCCTCCCACACAGTTAATGTTTTTCCTGTGTGAGCATGTCTAGGGTTTATAAGTCTAAAGTTGGTAAAGCTTAAAATGGCACTTGGACTTTTAGAAGACTCTGCAGTATCTTGTCATCATCACAAACCCTCTGAGCAGCAGATCCCCTGCTGTCCTGGTTTTACAGCCAAGGAAACTGAGTAAGACACAGATTGGTGTGCAAGCAGCTGACTGGTCACCTCTGCGTGGCTCTGTGGACTTGAGAGTGGGAGGGGGATGAATTAGGAATGGGGGCATATTGGGAAATGGTAAGTCAGAGAATTACAAGAACATTGAAATACAGGTTATCTAGCAAGAAAATACAAACGTGCCTGAATTTCAGAATGGAGCTGCAGTAGCTGAAGCCTGGCATCCAATGAGCTCATTAAAGGGGTGTGTAAAAATGGAAACATTAAGAGAGCAGATGTTGCACAGGGCAGGTCTACTCTAACACAGCATCCTCTCCCATTCAGGCAGATATTCTCTCCCAGGACATTTCCCTTTGTCCATGGACCTTCTCTGTGGTCTTCTATCCTTGGAAGGGGATAGAGTTCATGGGAACCAGCATGGATGCTATGTATGTGCAATCATGTTGGGAGCCGTTTCAGCATATTGGGAGACTGAGTCTTACCCACTTCTTCACAACTGCTGACAGGCCTCAGCTGGCTATTTTCCATTCTGCCCGCAGCCTTGGCCCGAAAACTTTGGCAGGCAAGCAGAGCCCACAACCTTGGCTCATAGCCGGGGCTGGTAGCCCGCGGCCTTGCTCTAGTTATTGTAAATAACCCTGTTTTCTGTTGATCAGTAGACTCTCACAGGCACTGGATGGAGCCCACGGCCTTCACCTGCGGTCTTGTTTTCTCTTCCAGTAACTGCTTTGCTCTCAGTGGATTCCTCCCTTGGAGTGCACCTGGGCCTTTGCTATCTGGCTGATATGATTCAGTCCAGTCTATACTTCTTATTTAACTGTATGCTTGTGCTTCAATAAACGAGACTTGATCAGAGCACTGTCTTGTCTCCATTTCTCTTGCCCCTTGCCTCATCCACATATCCCCAATCCAGGTACCCCGTGGCAGACCCCGCAGGCCAGGGCACAATCATGCTCAGCATCCCATCACAAATTCATCCTCACCCACCTCTCCTGAGCTCTCTTGCCACCTTCCGTCTCTGGCTTCCATTTATGACTACTGAAACTCTAGAATTCTATACCAAAGGGAGGTAGGTCTGTTTACTTCAAAGGGAAGAAGGCTGCCTCGATTACCAGTGTCCTCCTCTGTGCAAAGCCCTCTGATGGACACTGTAGGTAAAAAAGAAAAAAATTATCAACTATCTGTTCATGGCCTTAAGAAGACCCACTTTGATGCAGACACAAACACACAAATGAGCACATACCATGCTGTGCTAAAGGCTGTAGATGAGGACTCATGCAGAGGAGGGGCCCAGATTACAGGGCAAAGGAGCAGGTGGGGAAGCTGGTCCATCTTGTAGATGGCACATTGGGGTCTGTTGCTTAGGAGGACAGAGACCCACTCTGCAATATAGTATAGTCCTGTATACCTCAGTCCATGAATAAGCAAGTCACATCCCTATTGTCTCCATCTCTCTCTCCCTTATGTCAAGGTGGACCCCAATCACAAATGCCAGCTGGCAGATTCTCTTCTCTACTGGTGGAATCATCAACAGCCTGGAGGAACTGGACTTAAGTGGAAATCAGCTGAGCTGCTCGGCATTGAAGAATCTTTGTGAGATCCTAAAATACCCTGGCTGCCACCTGAAGACCTTGTGGTGAGTCTGGCTGGGTTCTGCCGTGAAGCAGGGATGGTGGGAGAGCAAAGCTGGGAGTAGGATAAAGCTTGGTCTTCAGATATTCACTGGACCCTCTGACCATGCCTATGATGGATTCCAGAGATTCTACGATAAACAAACAAATGGGATTTTTTCTCAGAGAGTATGTGCAAGACTGACATTAATAAAGGAATTCCACTTACACAATCCCATGAGGGCTCCAGTGGAGAATGCTTCCTGCGGAAGTGGCCAGAAAGAGATCTAAAGAGTACAGAGGAAGTGGCTAAGTGAAGCAGAAGGGAAGAAAGCTCAAGGCCCAAGGCTTGAGAACCCCTCCTTTTCCTCCTGCTCGCTACCTTGGTAACCACCTTTCTACTCCTATCTCTATGAACTTTACATTTTTAAAGGTTTCACAAGCAAATGAGACCATGTTGTATTCATCTATGTCAGGCTTATCTGTTTTGGATGACTCTGGAGGTGCATGAGTGGCCTGCTCTGGACTTCATGGAGTTTGGGCCTCCCCTTGACCAAGCAGCAGCAGAGCAGTGGACCCCTGCCTGTATTCCATTGGTCCTGCAGCGCAGCTATGGGAGACATGGAACTATCCATCCAGATGAGACAAGCAGGCCAGAGGTCCATGCAGACATGGTCCTGGTTTGGGACAGTTCATATACCAGACCCCAGAATGTACTGGGGAGCCCAGTATATTCCCTTTGCTCCAAGTGAACATGCCATATTCCCCCTCAACTTTTTTATACTAGAAGCTCATTGGTTTAAATCCTAGCCTGGAAATAGCATTAATATTAAGATCACCTGGATACCTGTTGCTCACTGACTATTTGTCTGTGCCAATGTGGTTAACATTTAAACAGGGGTATACAAACAGGACATAGATAAATTACACATACAAGGTTGATATGATGGGTGGGAGAGTTCCTTTGAATGTGAGCAGACATAATAAACGGTAGATAACATACAATAAGAAAATTAAACCATCTCAGGTTACTCCAAGCCAGAGAAGTCCCGATCTTCCTTTAATAAGGGCCATAGATACCAGAAAGAGATATCCAAACCTTGCTACCTAGAGGAGTGAGCCCTCAAGAAAATGATGCTATTCATCTACCATGCAGGTTGGTCGACTGTGGCCTCACATCGAGCTGCAAGGACCTGGCCTCGGTGCTCGTGCTCGGTACCAGCCCCAGCCTGGAGGAACTAGATTTGCAGCTGAATGACCTAGGAAACCATGGTGTAAAGCAGCTGTGTGAGGGGCTCAGGTATTCTACTGGCCACCTCAGGTTCCTGAGGTAAGTAAGGCCTTGTGGATCCTTTATGGGCAGTGGGAAGGGAAATATGTAGGTGGGATAACAGAGGATGGGACATGAAAAAGAAAAGGGACAGGTAAATGCACAATCAGCCTGGAATCACTATCTCCTCCAAAATTCAGTTTCCTCAGCTATTTAATGACAATTTCACACCCACCTCATACATTGTAATGTCATACAGTATATATGTCTAAAAATGGATGAAACCTGTGTCAGCTTTGTGTGGCTGAAATGCAACAATCCCCCTGCCCTAGAGTTTCATTCAGGGTACAATACGGCACGGAAGAGTCTGCTTCTGGCCTCTGGTAGCTGAAACCAAGTGGCTGGCAGCTTCACTTTGCAGCCAGCTTTCAGCTATGACCATCTCCCATATACTGAAGAGGCTGTCTGATGCTGGTCTCTGCTGTAAGTCTGCTTTCAAGTTCCAACTCAGGTACTTGTCAAGTCTTAGATGCCACCTTTCCTCTGGAGACAGGAATAAGCTTTCACCCCAATGGCTACATGACTCCTCCCTGGGAGAACAGCCTACACAGCAGAAATGGTGACTTTACACAGCCTCTCACAGGTACAAGACGTTTTCTTTCCTGCCATTTCTTTCCTGTGCCTCACAGCAGGCAGAGTGGGACTGATGCATCCACATTATGGACTAAGAACCTGGAATCCCAGAGAAGGCAGTCACTATCCTAATCCAACAGAAACATAGGTTGTAATATTTCTAAGAACAGAACCAAAGGACTGGGGTTGTGGTTCAATGGTGGGAGATTCTGTGTGAGGACATGACTTCCCTCTTCAGCACTGAAGGGGAAAAAATGAGATCAAGATTCCTCCCAGGAGGATTTCCATGAAATCCTAAGACCCACTTTGAACATCTTCACAAAGCCCATTTTGTAATGAAACCATGGTCTCTAGTCGTTTGGAATGTTGGTGGATAAAGGCAAGAGTCGTTTCATCCACAACCGTGTCTCTTCCTGGGACAGTGTGTATCCAATGACTGGCCATGTCTGGGTATAAAGTGCCAGCCCCTCATCCCAAGTCTGAATAATCCCAGAGGCTATCATCCGAGTTCACACCTGTGAGCTGATTGAGACCCACTGAAACCAGATCATGGCTGCATCTCCTACTCTCTTGTCCTGGTGTTGGCCCAAGAAAAAGTTCTGGTGGCCTCCCTCACTGAATTCATCTCAGAGCCTAATTCTTGGTAACCTAAATATAGCAGAATCTTTTATCAGGTAGCTGAGTCTGGGTTCCTGGGGCCTGGGGACCCTGAGGTGAATCCCAGGAGAACCTGGCTTCCCTTGTGCTTGCAGGCTGGACCAGGCTTCTCTGAATGACCCAGTGATGATGAAACTGAAGGCACTGGAGAAAGGCAGACCCCAGCTGGTCATCTCCAGCACATGGTAAGGAATAGACACAGAATCCCCTCTGTACAACCAAAGCCCACACAGAGCCCATGTGACTGGTCCAGAGCTGAAAGATGGGGATAGGGTCTTGGGTTGGCAAGAGAGACAAATGGAGCCAGGAAGAAACGAGGAAACACACCAACAATGAGGTAGATTGTTTTGGCTTCACAGTGAAAATAGAGTTATATAGCCTGCTTGCTTGAATATTTTCATTGGAAAATGAATAATATGAAAAAATAAATCAGTGTCAAGTCTCTGAGCACAGCATACTGTGATGACAAGCAGACACCAGCCTACTGACTTCTCCAGAGAACCTAGAGCAAGGGAATAATATAAACATGCGCCACAGGAGTGAAGTAGAGAAACAGAGAGACTCCCAGGGAAAAGTCCAATGTGTGTGAGAGGGCTGAGGTGAGGGGGTGGGGATTCAGGGGTAGAAGAGGAACTTTAGAAGAGAAATATCATCTTCAACCCCTGTGGAATGCACTGAAGCCCCATGCTCTCCCCTTTAGACACATTTCAGCTCAAGATCATGAACTTCATTTGTCTGTAAGGTCTGCCTTCTGTGCCTCACCTGAAATGGAAGGGAAAGCTAGAGGCTTAGGAGACACATTTATTCATTGAACAAACGTTCTCCAAGACTCACTGTGCATCATACATTACTTGGACATCTAAAGACATGGTAGTGAACAATTCTGATAAGGCCCAACATCCGTGAACTCACACAGAGCCCATGTGACTGCTTGCAGGGGAACAGGCACATGTTCTCCCACAGTTCTGTGAAATTGACCTGGGGACCATGTGAGTGTACCGATGTTCTATCTGGCCTCATCTAAAGGAAATAATCTGTGCTGAACTGAATTCTCAAACATGAGAACTGTGAGCTGGGCCAAAAAGGAGACAATACCTGGCAGAGGTGGAGGTTTTGAGGAAGGAAAGAACTCAGTCAGCTCCCTTGAGGGACAGAAAATCACAGGTGGAGAGGACCCCCAGATGCTGTTGGTCTCCATCAACAGCATCTGTCTCACTATCACCTGAGATATCCATAAAAATGCAGCTTCTCAGGCCCCACTTCAGACCTACTGATTTCAGAGTCTGAGGTGAGGCAGCCTCGTTCAATGAGGTCTCTGATTTTTTAGTTGAATTTTTGCAAATTGCATACAATATATCTTGATCATATTTAGACCCCCCTCTCCTATCTGCATCACTCCTAAAGCCTCTTCCACCACATTTCATATACTCTGTCATATACCTTAAGGCCTATCCAGTGAACTGTGTGTTCCCAAATGTCCTTTGGTGTGCATCCATCCACTGGAGCCTGGTTAATCTATCTAGTGTCACACCCTTAAAGAAAATTGACTCTCTCTCTCTCTCTCTCTCTCTCTCTCTCTCTCTCTCTCTCTCCTAGCAATCATCAGTTCCCAAGAGTCCTCAGTTAAGGATGGGGTTTCTTACCCACTTTCCCATTTCTATGCTGGAATTTTTTGTCTGGTTTGAGCCTGTGCATGCTTTTAGCATTGCTGTGAGTTCATATGAGTAAATTCCAAGCTGTCTGGAAAGCACTGTTGCCTTGTGATCATTCATCACTTCTGGCTCTTACAATCTTTCCACTCCCTCTTCTGCAATGGTTTCTGAGCCTTGGGTGGCAGAGGTTTGATATTAAGTGTTCTATTCAGGGACGAGCAGCCTGCAGTCTCTTACTCTATGCTCTTTGGTCAGTTGTGGCTTTCTGGGTTAATCACTATCTGTTCCATGAGGAAACTTCACTGGTGAGAGTTAAGAGATGCATTGATATTCTTTCTGCCCTCTGTTCCACATGCTCCCTGAGACTTAGGTGTAGAGATTTCATCATAGATGTGTCACTTAGGGCTGGGTAACCCATAGATACTTATTCTCTGCATTTGACCAGTTGTGGAATTTTGTAATAGTCTCCATCTGTGAAAAAAGAAGTGTCTTTGACAAATGGTGAAAGGTATACCTTTCTGTAACTATTAGAATATATATTTAGAAAACGGTAAGAAATTGCATTGGACTAGGGATGAGACAAAAGTAGATTTTTCTCCAGTAAATTTTATGACTCTGCAGCCATATGTCTTTGACTATCTTTATATCACCTCACATGAGTTCTATCCCATTGAGACTTAATTCTAATTAAACCACTGTAGATTACCCCCAAGATAAAAGTGCCATTACTTCACCAACAGAGATTATTTTCTGGGCCAGTCATTGTTGTGGTTCATAGACTATACAGTTGAATGTCATCAATAGGTTTTTCTGCCTTGCAGTTTGCATAGTATCTTCCGATACTATGGGAGCTAGCCTTCAGGGAGGAGGCTTCCAGGTCAGTTCCAGCTTGATTGCTCCAATTCATGTGTCCAAAGTATGCCCTGTCTTCAAAAATAAATCTTACATTTAAGTTCTGGGAAGCAATCAAAGGCTATAGCAATAACCTTTGTTGTTTTGTGAGTCTCTTGGACTACTCTGACCAACAACTTGAAGGGCATCTTCCCCTGCTTGGCACTGTGCTTCTTGTTATACAGCTTTCAGCTATACACATGCACACACACACACACACAATGCATGTGCACACAAGTATGCATATTTGTGTGTGTTGTATGTGTAGATGTGTATTTTTCATTAGGCTTTTGAACTAATATATTACCCTCTGGTTTTTATCCTAAGTATTATTTATGTCTCCTACCTCTCCTCCTGTATAACCCTCTCTCTTCCCTCCCCATTTAAAGTACCTCTATTTGCCCCATTTCCCACTTGAGAACACCTGTCTCCTATCAACTTTTTTGAGCTCCTTCTTCCCCTTTACCCACATGGTTCCTATCTGGTTTCCTGACTCCTATGGTCGTATTAAGATATAGACTCACGTCTGAGGATTTGAACCTAAGACTCACATGAAAGAGAATATACATCGCTTGTATTTCTGAGTCTGTGTTACTTCACTTAGTATAACAATTTATAATTCTACTCATTTATCTGAACGTTTCATGATTTCGTTTTTCTTTACTGCTGAGCAGAACTCCATTGTGTAAATGTACAACATTTTCATTATTCATTCATCAGTCAAAGGACATTTAAGTTGTTTGTATTTCCTAGCTATTGTGAAAAAAGCAGCAACAAACATGGATGAGCACATATCTCTGTAGTGCTCATATCAAGGTCTTTTAGTATATGCCAAGGAGTGGTATAACCAGATAATATGATAGATTTATTTTTTTGTTTGTTTGTTTTGAAGAATTCTCCACATTAATTTCCAGAGTGGTTGCAACAGTTTGCGATTCCACCAGCAGTAAATGAGTGTTTTCCTTCCCCCACATCCTCGCCAGAATTTGATGTCATTTCTTCTCTTGATCTTAGACAATCTGACCACTGTTTAAGGTATTTCTTTTTTTTTT